TGGCTGTAGACGTTACAATATAAAAATATTTACTTAATTTTGAACTTAGGTCGTTGTATTTTGCTATATCTGTATGTGTTGTATTTGTTTTCTTGTGTATATGTTTGTGCGTGTACTTATATGAATTGCTTACTAGCGTTCTGATAGTATTTTTGCCGTCTGACTTACGTACGAGTAAGTTGCTCGATACTTCAACAAACCCCTTCACGGTTAATGACAGGTAGTCCACGTTTTTCTATCTTATATTTGTATCCATCATTATAGCCCTGTCACTGTTTAACATATATTTCAGATTTTACCTTTTCATTCAAAAACTCTATTTCGATATCCATCTATTTGATAATTAAATTATTTTGACAAGAATGAGAAAGTAATGTAATTAAAGTTTGCATTCTTGCAACTAATGAATAAATATCATGAATCAAATCATTTTGTTGGTAACCTCTACTTAACCTACAAAACAACTAAACCAGCCTCAAAAATATTACTATCCTTTTTTAGTATAAATCCGTTTTTAATCTGAATTTTTTTAATCATTTGGTTTATTTACAGAAATCAGAGCTTTATTTTTATTTAAAAAGTTTATACTTCTATCCATCGCCTTTTTTTTAATTATTAGACTGATTATTATTCATCGTATCATAATAAAAAACAGGTGTCTCAGCATTTGTATAATTTACATAAATAATATTATTAAGCACAAAATTTTTATCTCTGCATCCATCAGGCTTTTTTCTTTCCCGAGTTGATCATTTTGAATTAAAATTTTTATTTTCATCATTGCCATTAGTATTCAAATCACCATTATTGTTTTTAACATTGCTTTCACTTAAACTGATTTTCACCATGTTATTTTCTGATTCTAAACTGTAGTGTATGTGACTCGACGAGAGACCTAATGTAGGCGAATTTTAATACAACCAATAGTTAAGTGCGCAGCTACGATAGTAGAGGGATATTCCAAGCAAATATACATATGTATGTTTTTTTTTTTAATTAAAATGTACTCTCTCTCAGAGCCTTTCCAACCAGGCTACAGTTTGTAACGCGTCTTCCTTCTTGTAATATTTTATGTTCAATATATTTGATATTTCAGTACTGTGCATTTGTTATTGTACTTCGGCTTCCAGTATCCATAATCATCCTACTTGCTATTAAAATATATTGTATAAACCAATACAACTTGTCACACCTTCTATAATATTAATGTGTCTTGCAATTACTGTTTTATTATTCATGAGAACTGTATAACCAATATTTTTATAACTTAACAAAATTTATAAAGCTGCTTTTTTGACCCACAATGAATTTTTCTTTTCCTGAGGTATTCTCACAAAAACTCTAGTTTTATTAATATTATAAATTTTTTTACTGGGCTTTTTCCCAAACATAATTTCGAAGAGTCTTTTCAACAGTAATAGTAATAATCTTATTTTTCAAACAAGCTGCTGTTTTAACTTTTTCTGGCCAAAACCTATTATAAGCCCTTGCTTCTTTTAATAAACATCTAAGTACATCCATAATATGCCTATTTTATTTTTCTGCCTTTCCACTTAATTCATGTACATGAGGTAGACACGGTTCAATAGTAATACCTCTCTTCATATCTTCATTGTTTTACCTCTTTCATTGTCATATCTTAATTTTTTAATTTCTTTTTCTGTCTAACTTTCAATTCAATTAACAAAGTCAACAAAACAATTATATATACTCAATTTTTTTGATTTGATAAAGTAAAATTTAGCTACTTTTCTATAATCGTCGATAAAACTCAAAAAAAAATTTCTTACCATTCAAACCAGTAAGTAGTGTAATGAGGTCCATTTAAATCGGTATGTCCAACATCCAAAATATTTTTTGCCCTTGATCTGTCTTTATTAAATGGTTAATTATGGATTTTATTTTCCAAACAAATTCCACCTTTTAAACAAGTAGTTTCTAATTCTCTGGGTAAATCATCAAGCATTTATTTAATACACATTGTTTCCACATAATTAGAATTTACGTGGCCTTGTGTTCTATGCAGTTTTTATTTTCTGTTAACTCATTCTTTGTCATTGAATTTGATACGCTATACATAATTTCATTTGACATATGATCAATATCATTATTTTTAATAGCCGACGCAACAGAATTTTCATTTTCATCCACAATCTTCGACATATTTCCTACAATTTCATTTGCTTTTGTTACTTTGCCGTAACTCATTTAATTTTTATCCATATCTTTGATGAAAAAAATATTTTTTATCATATTAGTCTTACTTAGATCATAAACATGAAACTTGTGCCTAATATAACCAATTTTTGTTGCTTTTAAAGAATGACCACCACCTACTTTGACATTTATAGGCTCTTTCAACTCAACAGATTCATAAAAATATCGATCATAATTTATAACATAATCTGAGAAACCGCTATCGAGTAACCATTCAACCTTACTGGTATAGCTGCTTACTTTAAAACAGGACTCATTAGGTCTTTCCTCGAATTCTACATTACAACTACTTACATAACTGTTTTCGTTCTGATATCCTTGACTATTTTACTGCCAACCACCTCCTCGACGAGATTGACTAGAGCCTCTACCAGCTTCACAACTGCGGCTGCTGCGATGTTGCCACTGCTGTTGTTATTCTCATTGGCACCCGCCTCGGTGCTGCTACGCACCACCTTGCTTTTATGCATTATCGCTTTGTCTCGTACTCGTACATTGTGCCTTTAAGTTTCTATATTTTCCGCACTTGAAACATGATCCATTTTTTTTTCTTTTAGTTTTAAATGCACTTGAACTGTGTTTGCTTTCATCTTCCTTTTTTTTTTTAATTTAAACATTTTTATTTTGCTTTTAACGTATTCAACGGTTGGACCAGATTCTTATAACACACCGATTAAATCACCAATGTTACTTAATTAACTTCAAAGCATTTTAATGACGTAGCTTAACTTTTCTTTTTCAGTCACATTTGCACCAGCACTTTTCAACTTATTAATTAATATTTCAAACTCAGTAAAAAATGCACTTGAATTTCCAAAGTCTTTTAACTTTAATTTGTCCAACTTGCTTCTTACACAAATTTGTAGTGCAGTTGACTCCTATACATAGATTTCATCAAATTTCTTTATTATTTTGTATGCTGTTTCTTGGTCCTTTACAAACTGTCACTGACCATTTTTAATTTCACTATATATTGCATTGATCGCCTTTAAGTCCTTTCTGATACACTTTTTTTCTTTATATGTCCTTGTCATAGCTCTCGTTGCTACTTCGTCGCATTGCTTCAATATTAGAATCATCGTGATTCTCCTTTCCTAACACTCAAAATCAAAAAGAGTTTTTAGTTCATACGCCATTTTGGTTTTTTTTCCTTCGTCCGAATCTTCTAAAATTTTCTTTACTATAAGTACTTTTCTTATTATTTCCAGAAAACTTATTTTTAAGCTCTTAAAAATGGATTAGCACAAACTTTTAATTTTGTAAGTGTTGGATTCACATTTTTACTTGAATCCGTAGTGCTTGATTATCACAAGCTACTGAAGCAACCCGTGAAAATCTTAAATGGCATTTTCAAGCCGTATTAGTAAAAGTACGTAACAATTTTTTAGTATAACAGTCATTAACGTCCCTGACTATCACCCTGGAGATCGAGGTTCAAATCTGATTGAGTATAAGACAATTTTTATTTTTAAGTTCATTACTACGAAAAATGTTTGCTTCAAGCTCGATGCTGCCACATATTTTCATCTGATTGGTGTAGGGAAGCCATTCAGACACTCTGGGCAGGCTTAGTGAAGCTCGTTGTCTCTGCTGCTGCTGATGTGTTCTTGACTGGTTCAAAGAGAGGAATGACTGCTCTGATGCTCATCACTGCCTTAAATCCTCGTATGACTTGACTGGGAATAATACGGATAAATGCATGGGAGTAAGAAAGATAAGGATTATTCAGATCCTTTATCTGACGAGGCTGCTAGCCACAGAGAGCTCATTGTCTTTGCCACTACTGATGTGCTTCCAACTAACTTCAAGCGAAGAATGACTGCTTCGCATTCTACAGCATCTATAATGTAAGTTTGTAGATAGTCTAATCCAGTAAGGATTTCAATTTAGTAAGGAGAATAATCTAGAGAGGATTCTTATCACTTGTGGATTAGAATCCTTACTAAATTAGAATCTTTCAAGTTCACCTACTTGCTATGCAATGGTATCGTCAGCTCTAGTAACCCTGTTATATAGGGCCATCATGATATCAGAGCTTGATTTGCAGTTGAAGATGAAAGGAAGTTATCTTCAAAGCATGGTACCAATTGATATTACAGCTACCAGTATCCGAAGCCAAAGCCTCATGATATTACTACCTTAGTAGTCCTCATACGCTACCACCTGATCGTGATAGCCTCACCACCCATCGCCCTATAGCTCAAGCCTCTCCCCACACCGACTTAATGTGCAAAATCTTCTCTAGCACCAAGTGACTCAGCAGCTCAATCTTCCCAATCACTACCCAATCATGCAGTAGCTGGACCGTCCTAACCACTACCCTAGGGTGGAGCTGAGAGGTGCCAGAACTCCATAGTTTACCTACTCATCCACTAAATTTCATTTTTGTTAAAAAGTTGTCTCCTAGTTGACGATGAAAAAAGTTAATTTTGAACTAGTTCAATTATTAATTATTTTATAAAATTCATTAATACATCCAATAAAAATGATTTTGGAATTTTTTTTTTTTTAATACTTTGATTTGAACTTCTTGCATATCTATTTTTACAGTAATCAATATTGCAATGCTCTACCTCAGCTTATCAGAGATCTGACGTCAAAAAAGTAGTTTATTTATGTTCTGAACATATTTTTTAACCTTAGGATCTTTTTTTTTTAAAGTATTAAATTATGCTATTAAATGATTATCCATCATTATTAGAAGTAGAAAAAATAACAGAGTCTAAAAAAATAAGATGTTGTTTGGTAAAAAAAATGACACTCAATACATTTTTCGTTAACAGTAATACCTTCGTGAGTGGACCCGAATGGTGTGGTTGCTTTTCGATGGCAGAGAGACCATGTGCAGCAGTACGTAGACGATCGCCATCTGAAGTGGCACCAAGCTGTGATTCCCAGGGCTTTTATCAAAGCACACAGTGTCACAAGAGTTTAAGGATATGCTGGTGCGTCAACAAACATGGCATTGAGATTCCCGACACACGTGTTTTGGGCTCGAAACCTGACTGTGGTAAGTCTACAGATACGTCATCAAAGTGTTATTTATTTACCTCTCATCTAATACCTTCTTTATTATTAACAATACTTTATTAATGTAAAGAAATAAGTTCGTTTATTCTCTTCTGCCCTGATGAAACTTTAGGACTTAATAAATAAAAGTGTTGGTGGTTTTGCTATCTTAAATTAAATGGAAGCATCACTTTCGTTGTCTTATCTAGCAGTTAATGTATATTCCCGTACAAATATTTTTATTAAAGATTGACAATAAAAATAACGACTACGTAAGTGTTTCTACAACTATGTTATTAGACTCAGAAATACTATGAAAATATTTGAGAGTGACGGTATGTTATTTAAACAAAACTTAAGTAGCACTGCATTTAGGAAGTTGATATTTGGAACGATCGAGAAAAAGAAATAAAATGTAAACTTACAAATTGCTAATTTTATTCTTGATTTCTCAAATCTTCATGTCAAATATAGAGTAAGTTTCCTTACGTCTCCATAGTGCTTCCAAGTAAGCTTAGTTAAAGAAGCAAAATAAACAAAATATTTTGTTACAATGCAATGTGTTTTTAGTTAACTAATTAAACATTTCTCTGATTACGATATTTTCAAAGTACAGTCTGAGTTGCTTAAAAAACATTTTTAGTCTTATACTGAAAAAACGGTTTGTTTTACGTTTGGCCCAATATTACTTTTCTAGGAAAATTTTCAACAAATATGTCTATAAGCCTTTTCTTTCTCTTATATTTCTCTAGAAAATGGCACTGGTCAAAAGTTTTTTTTTATTAATAAGTTGCATCTTAAGTTAAAAAACTTAATTCTCTTATATACTAAATATCTATGTTAAAAAAAATAGCTAGAATTTCAAAATTTAAGAAAGAATTAACTTATATTTTCTTTTCTTTATCTGCAAAGTGTGCTATTTATTCTAAATTGAAATCATTACACGAAAACCAATCTGTAAACTTTATAAGACCTCAAAATTTGATATCCCGTTGTAATTAAAAAAAAAAATATTAATTCTGGCCGATTTGTTAAGACTTTTTTGACATTACCACTTTTCCGTGACGTATAAGATCCCACAAGTTACAAACAATTCCAGTGTAAAGGGAACATGTTTTAATAATATTTTTTATACAAAATAAAAACTTTAAAACTAACACTATTAAGTTAGAACGACCACTACCCGATCATTATCATGCGAGGTTTCGCTCATGGGTATATCCTGAAAAGGCTATACATACATATTGTATCACCTTTACTTTGTTTATCTTTGGAAAATGATTACAGGGGAATCTAACTCGGGCGGTTCGACGCAAAGTTAACACATTGGGCTTTTGCGCAATAGAGTTTTGGGGAATAAAGTCGCGAAGTTCAGATATCTTGGGGTACCAAGGTGATGAGTCGGATGAAGTAAATTGAGAAGAGAGTTTTTAATCACGGAAGGAAACAGCAAGGTCTCCCTAGTGATTTAAGGCACCTTGGATACTTTTCCGACATCACGCTTCGAATTACTTGGTTGAGTGTAAGTAGACATCCCGTCTGAGCCACGAAGCCATTCAACTCGTTTTCGAGTGGATTAAGTTGAGCGGGTGGTAAAACCCCAGTTGTTTAATAATCAACTGAGTGGTGGCCCCAGTACCAGCTGAGTGGTACAAAGCGTATCTTTTTCCTCTCTGATATGTCATAGGTTTGTGTAGTAGTTTGTCTTCCTAAATCTGGAGCTTTTGTGCATCCAAACGTGCCAACCCGTGGTTTTCTTTGCACCAAGTCTCTGTATTCCTTTTATTCGAATTTTGCTCTTCTTATGTTAGCATAAACGTCATATAATTAATTCCTACAAATACTTTTAAAGTCCAAAAATTAAAAATAAAATAAAAAATAAAAATGGTGGAATTAATACAAAAGTTATTAAATTATTATTTGAGAATATTACTGATGTACTAGCGAAAATTTTTGACACGTACATTGATAAACCGATGTGGCATATTGTACTAGAAACTGGTGAAATTGTACCCGTATAAAAGTCAGGAAACAAAAAAATGGCAAACTACCATTCTATATGGCTTATATCGAACATAGCAGAAATATTTGAAAAATAATTCACAAGGAGTTTATAAAAATTTATATATAACTATCATATCATTGCTTCAAATCAATATGGCTTTATCAAAGAAGAAAATCTAAAGATGCACTTAATTATAGGACTAAAATATTATGTGATAACTTAAATAATAGAAGGCCAATTGTCATTACTTTAATTTATTTGGCAAAAGCTTTTGAAACAGAGAGTCATACTTTATTGCTTGACAAACTATATAACTACGTTGTGAGAAGTTATGCGTTTGACTGATCAAAAGCAACCTTGACAATACGTTTCAGTATGTTAGAATGAGATAAGATCGAAGTAATATGAAGAAATTTAATATAAGGTTATTTCTAGCTTTAGGTGGCACTAGTGTGCCCATGTAAGAAAATGCGCTAAAATTTAAACGCCTACATGCTTTAGAAAGTTTTATTTACTTAATGTTAATAGATAGCTTTTTTTAACTATAAAAAAATTGTTTGTACCTCCTATAGTTAGAAAGTACATATTGTTATGCTTACTTCCAATGAATCCTTTTTATTCTTACATGCATACTTATATTATACAAGTTAACGAACAGTAGCAGCATGCTGTGTATACATACGAATCGTTAGTAAGGAACGTTTAGTAAATTTAACCGCAATCAAATAATTTTTTAACAGAATAGTTTTACAAATATAACATATAATCTAAATAATATAGATAAGTATGCATCGTGTGTACTGCAGTGGACCCGGACGTGATGATACTACAAAAAAAGGTCGTTATTTTTCAAAAAATGTGGAATTACGTGGTAAATGGCTGAAATCCACTCACACAATTTATTTTTACACTGGATAAGAAAACTATAAGAAGTTTTATATAATTTTTTTCAGCCCGAGGTAACAATGTTCACCGTTTAAATTATTTTTTTAATACCAAACCAAATTAGGATGTTCTAAATCAATTTTTCCTTTCATTAATTGTCCTTCGTCAAAACAAAACTTATTTTGAGTTAAGTTTATTGTTTAAAATCAATCAAAAGGAAGTTGCAAATATTTTTATTACCTGGATTAGATTCATGATTCTTCAGTGGTCAGAAATTTTCCAGTGGCCCAGTAAAGACCTGGTAGACTTTTATACTCCTTTTGAATTCAAACAAAAATTCAATGGAACTAGAGCAATCATCAATGGCACTGAAATACCAATCAAGAGGCCCAGTGTACCCACATCTCAGCAAAGCACTTTTTAAACTTGCAAAAACAAACCAACAATCAAAGTACCAGTTGCAGCAACTCCTGGAGAATTAACTTCCAACGTATCACCTGCATACGGTGGATCAACTAGTGACAGGCAAATCGTGGAAAAACGTCAGCTAATATCACTGTGTGATCCTGGCGATTCTCTCATGGCTGACAAAGGGTTTGATGTTCAGGGTATTTTAGAAGTACATCGCATAAAATTAGACATACCCACTTTTTGAAAAAAAAAAATCAGATTTCAAGCACAATGTAGTTTCAACAGTAATGAAAGATAAAAAAATTTCCAGCAAAAGAGTAGATTATAGAGCTTATCATTGATTTAGCAAAAACTTATAAGTTGTTAGGAGTATTACTATGTAAATCTGAAATTCATTTGGGAGACGATATTATTTTAACATGCTTTTTTGTGTAACTTTCGCAAAACTATTATCGATAAATTTACTTGAAATTTTCACATCACTCAACATACATTATTTTTTTATTAATAAAGCCTTTGCACACAGTACAACTTTTAGTGTTTTACTTCATTACCAGTGTATTATGTTTTACAAGCTTTCAAAAGTTTTATAAATAAATTAACTGATTTCTTTAAAAATAATTTTTGGTGAAAGTTAAAAAATTATTATAGGTGTCACCTCAACACTACTTGTCTAAAGTAATTGTTGAAAAAAGTAGTTAATTTTGATAACATTTCAGAAATAAATGTATCGTTTCTAACTACTTTTACAACTAAAGTTTCTTTGAAAGTGTAAACAATGGAAACACATGTTTGACTGTTAGTACAAAATAATTGGCCTGGAACTTGGTAATAGTACTTATGATCAGATTTTAAACTATTATAGTCTATTACTTGATCCAGTTCCGAATACTTTAATGTTTCTGGAGTGATTTCACTGTCTCTTGCACTGTAAGGACATTTTTTTTAACACATACGTCCTTGTTGAGTATCCCATCAGGTGAAGCAACTAAAAATAGGTATTTTTCAGAGACAAACAGACCACATGGTTTACAGTGAAGTTTCATGACCTTCTTAAATTCTTTGATTGCATGCAGCTTAAACTTTCTTCCATGTTGTATTAATGGTACTAAAGATAAATGTTTGGGAAGCATAATAGTTTTAATAAATTTTTCAGGAGCATTTGAAAGGCAAATATCTCTAAAACATGAGCTTGTAAGCCTAAGAGTTCTTTGATGAATCCAATACTTGTTATTAGATTGGCCACGCGTCATTGATTCTAGATCAACAATCTCATCTTTACTGATGTGTATCATATTCATGGAACGAAGAAATATTTCCTTAGGATGAAGCTCAAAGTAGTCATGATCAGTATAAATAGCATACAAGTTTGCACATTCAAACAGCTGGAGCTGAGTGACCAGCAAAATAAATACAGTGATTTCTAAACCTTTCCTGGTAATTTTGTTATTTTCTGAATATCACAGGTCTTGGATCAAATGTAACTAGTTTTTTTCTTTTCCTTTCTTTACCTGATAAACTTAGATTTTTTTCTTTGATGGAAGAATAAGTAAATTATTTCGTTTTGTAAAACGTTTGTAGCTGTTCTGTCCAACTTTCTCTTGTCCTAACAGTTTGACGGTATGAGAAATCTTTTATGCCTTCAAATACTACACAAACATGTTTGCAGTGAGCGGTGAGTCCATTTCCAGCTGCATACT